TTTTTCTAAAAAGTTTAATCAACGCTTGCAGAGAAAGGAAAACTTGAAAGAAAAGTATAGATTTGTTTTAGTTTTTGATGTAAAAACGTTTGTAACCATCTTTAAAACATAAGTACTTGATGTTTAAGGCAACATCTCAAAATTACAAGAATGAATCACTTATTGTTAATATTTGATTCTGGTAAAAACCGTAACCAGGATCATTATCAAAAAGAACACACCATTCAATGTATGAATTTCAATTGATTTTGAAACAATAGATCACCATTTGAGTTGCGATCAGGCTTTTTGTTGAACAGAAACACAGAAAAACCTTGAATTGTTCTAGACCATTTCAATTTGAAAAACCTGGAAGCGCTGACTTGATAAATAAATCAAAAATGCGCTAAAATTTTACTCATAATTTTTTTGAAAAAAATGGAACCACAAGTGCCCGTAGTAAGTTTGAATGTCGAATGAACTTTGTTCGCGACCTGTGAAAGTGTGAGTTAGAAAGAAAAGAGAACTTTCTGAAATCAAATAAGTGAACTAAACAAAAAGTTCTAGCAGAGAAGATTCCCGTCTGTATAAAGATATAGCATGCCAATACAAAATAATGCGATCAGAAAGCATGGGTAACCAGTTGGTGTGCAGGTAGTCCATAGTCTTGAAAAAATAGCAAGAAAACTTTTTCAAATTAGTGTCATTTTTTCCTTTGTGGTGCGATGAAAAGATCTCAGCGAAAAAAAAAGAAACTAAATATATGCAAGAGTCATAGTAAAAAAGGCCGATTCGAAATCTGTTTTGTTATAAAAGTGACTAGAAAAACGAAAAAAACTATCTTTTTTCAAATTTTCTGCAGAGTTCTTTTCAAAGTTTGAAGTTTTATAACCTCGAAACGGCACCAAAAAAAAATCAACGTCTCATTTTTGCGGCTTGCATTAAACATAAATAAGCAATTATAAGCCTCGTTATAATTGGACACTCACCTCGTTCCCTCGAAATAAAGACCGAATATCAAAAATTTGAAACGAGGTTTTCTCAACACGGAAGGTTTTTTGGAAGCTTTTTTGTCGTTCGAATCACGACTTAACCAGATTTAAAAGATATATCACACAACCCAGTCCATTGATTCTTTGTAGTTCCTTTTTTTTGTGAAAATCAAAAAAATAGTTTAAAAAAGGAAAACAATTCTAATATGGTCGGTACAAAAAGACTGAGATCTTGATAAATTCCACGACTCCGTTGCAAGTATTGTTTATCAAAAGAGGTGAAAATGTCAAAAGAGAACAAATTGAAATTGTTGAATTCAACTTTTACCTAAATTAAATATGTGTTGAATCATATTCACTTTTAAAAGTTTAGTCCGGTTTTGTTCCCCATTTCGACTAAATTTTTTTTAAAAAAGTTCGAAAAAACCGTTTTATATTGCTAAACTTGCGCTCTTCTTCAAATTAGGCTTTAAAACAAAACCATCAAATTACAGTGGGTTTTTAAACTTTTCTTTTTTGATGAATTGGTGGGTCATACGTTTTTGAAAAAAATAGTACCTTGAATAGCATCTTATTTTATGAAAATTTCAGTTAGGAGTCAGATAACAAAAAGGTGTACTACTGAAGATTTAAAAACAAAAATGGAATGCACGAATGAAAACTGGGACTCTGAGAACACACTGATACAGTGCCTATTCATTGTTCTAAAATCATTTCGATCAGTTGACCTAAGCCTTACATAAAAAAATACTGAGTCAATTGAAGTTCGGGGAAAATCAGTATCAAATTGTTGCCATTAAAACAAAACAATCTGAAAAACACAATTGGCGCGCCAAAGTAATCATTATTAAGCCCATTTCTCTTCAACGGTGATATAAATGATATTTAACATGTAAGGAAAGAAAGAGAGTATTCTAATTCAATATGCAGAAAGTGCAACCATAAAAACAACAGTTAGCAACTCAAAATCGTCATCGAGGAAATAACTATAGTTTTGTTACTTAGGATATTTCTTGTTTCTAAACTTTACTTCATAGATCGAATCACAACTGGGTGAGGTTATTTGGTGAAATAAAAAACTCAGAGGTGCGAATAATAGATTCTCACCAGCAGCATATAAACCAAAAAGAGCAAAATATAGACTCATAAACTGAAAAAAATTTTAAGAAACGATGTTTTTTCTTGTAAGTTCGTAATTTGTATCCTAATAAAAATGATACATTGAGTTGACACTAAGGCGCTGAGCTACTTTGCACTTTATAACTGTTACTCAAAACAGAATACGATCATTTCTGTTTCCTGTAATCACTGCTAGAGCAAGGTTGAAATTTTTTCTCTCTCAATATACATAGTTTTCCCGGAACAAAATTTAAGTACAAGATCAAACTAGTTACGATTTACCTAGTTTAACTGAAATTTATTTTTTACTTAATTGTTTTTTCAAACACATTTTTAGATTAAATTGAGCTGATGATTTCCATATATTCTGTTTGTAATAAAGCAAACACTTTTTGTTGGCTTTGATAAGGCCATCTTTAATCCTGAAAAATGGCTTCTAAACTAATTGAAAAATCGAAATTTGATGCGCTCTGTGACAAAGTGAAGAACAGTCTTTGACTTTTTTTTAATAATTTTTTTAACTTCTGTTCACCTATGCCTGAATGAAAAAAATGAAAAAATACCGGGTTTCTACCTCAAAAGACAAAAGAGCGAATTAGTTTTATTCAAGAATTATTTTGTCTTAAGGAAGAGCATCATATACAACTACATTAACAAATTAATTGATGCATGAAGTTATAAAAAGATAAAGAAAAGTTAAAATAATTGAGGTCTTTTTGACCGTTTCTTTATGAGTTTTTGCTTTTATCTCAAAAACACACAGAACATTAAACCAGGGACACCACTGTTCAATAATTTTTGCAAGCTTTCAGATAATTAAAGACGAAATTTAACGTAGCTTAGCCAAACTAATTATATCGCCTAGCATTTAATGTTGCTCCATAGTATATTTTCAAAACAAAAAATCAAGGTTTATAAGCTTAATGGATACCAAAACTTAATTAAAGTTTCTCCTATGCTTAAGTTTAAATTGCTTAACTGTTTAGTTGTTGAGGACAAAAAGCTTTGCACTTGAGTTATGTATTTGAAACTGATAAGCAAATAAAAAGAAACTTTTTATACAAAATTCAAACAAGCTTGCAGAAAAACTAGGAATTGAAAGAATTGTATAGATTTGTTTTAGTTTTTCTCGTAAAAGCGTTGGTAACCTTCTTTAAAACATATGTATTTGATATTAAAGTCAACATCTCAAAATTGTAAGAATGAACCATTTCGTTTCAAGATTTTATCGTGGTACAAACCGTAACCAGGTTCACTATGATAAAGAACAAACCAATCGAGGTATCAATTTCAGTCGACTTTGAGAAAAAAGTTAACCTTCTGATTTGTGATCACGGTTTTTTTGTTGAACAAAAACTCAAAAACCTATAATCGTTCTAGACCATTTAAACTTGAAAATGCTGACTTGATAAGGAGCTTAAAAATGCGTTAAAAACGTTTATCGTAATTTCGAAGAAAAAAACTGAACCACAAGGGCCCAGGCTAAGTTTGAATGTCAAATGAAATTTGTTAGTGAGTCGTAAAATGGTGAGAGTTAGAAAGAAATGAGAACTTTCTGGAATCAATTTAAAGAACAAGTCAAAAAGTTCTAGCAGAGACTGTTTCCATCTGTATAAAGATTCAGCATGCAAATACAAAACAATGCCATGAGAGAACAAGGGTAGCCAAATAGTGTGGAAGTAGAACAGAATTGTTCTACCATAGTCTTGAAAAAATTACATATATTTTTTTTCAATTCTAATATCATTTTTTTGTGTTGTAAGTTGAAATGATCTCAGCAAAACAAAACACAAATTAGAATGTTTCAAGAGTCGTAGTAAAAGGGCCAATTGCAAAACTGTTCTGTTAGTTAAGTGGCGAGAAAACCCAAAAAAAAAAAGATTTTGCAGAACTCTTTTAAACATTTGAAAGCTTTTACCCTCAAAATGGCACCAAAAAAACTCAAACATCTAAATTTTCACGGCTTAAATTAAATATAAACAAGGTACTATAAGCCTGGACATTCACCTCGTTCCCTCGAAGTAGCACAAAAATTTGAAACGGGGTTTTCTCAACACTGAGGAAAAGTTTTTCGGAACATTTTTTTTGTCGTTCAAATCACGACTTAACCAGATTTAAAAGATATATCACACAACCGAGTCCATTGATTCTTTGTAGTTCCTTTTTTTTCGTGAAAATCAAAAAAGTAGTTTATAAAAGGAAAACAATTCTAATATGGTCGTACAAAAAGACTGAGATCTTGATAAATTCCACGACTCCGTTGCAAGAATTGTATATCAATAGAGGTGAAAATGTCTAGAGAGTTCAAATCGTTTGATTCAAATTTTGCTCTAATTATGTATGGGTTGAGTCATTTAAAAAAAAATTTTAATCGGGATTTGTTCCCCATTTCGACTATTTTTTTATATGTTTTCAAAAACACAAATGTTTCATTACCTTTTAATAATGCCAAATTTAAATATTTAGTTTTCTCCTCAAATTTACAGGATGAACATTATCGAAACTGAAGTGTTAAAAGGCAACTGCAAACTATTAAATGCTACGATAGATGGAAGTAGAGCTGATTAACTGTATCAATAAATGTTGAAACAAGTATTAAATTTGTAGAGTTGAACAAAACTAAGAATAACTAGCTGACTTGATATCTTTCTCTGCATTTTTTTGACAAAAGTTCTTCTTTTTTATTCAGTACGATTCACCAAATTTTATACCAAAGCAAAAAAAAGTCTTTGAAAATTCGATGATACCGTTTTAGCAAAATGTGTGAAATTTGTATGACCAGTTTTTTTGTAGACTTGGTTTATGAAATTGTATGATTAGTGTTTTCGGTCTATGGAGATAAACCCGGTTATGCCCCAAACTGTAGTGGCGACAAAACTAACACCTTAATTGTGACCTTGAACACATCCATTTATCACACGTTAAGACTTAATTTTAGAATACGTTAAGATACATCTCATATAGGTAAACGAGATACCAGGTTAACTTTAGGTGAAACTTATTATAATATCTACAAAGTTTACAAAATTTACACCAAAATTACTCTGGAGGTGTTAGTTTTTTTGCGTTTAATAGTCTACTTCTTTTGTAGTTTTTTTTAGGTTTCTTCGATGAAGGTCGAGCAGTTTCTGCGTAATCCCGTTTTGTTTGATTAGAGAACTTTAGGTGTTCTTGGTTGTTAGTTGAATCTTCAACTTCGTTCGCTTTTTTTTTAATTCTATCACACAATTTTTTTATGTAGGTCAGTGTGTCCGTTAAAAATCGTACGACCGTTTTTGTGACTGTAGCAAATTGTACGACAAATTTTGGAATTTGAACTTTTAGAGTGGTCTGGATATTTTTGCTGCTTATCTTCAAGTGGTTATTAGTTGAACCTTCAACTTCTTCAACTTGTTTTTTTACTCCATCACAAAAACCATTTATGTAGTATAATGTGTCCCGTAAAAGTTGTACAGCCGTTTTTATGACTGTTGCAATTGGTACGACAAACTTTGGAATTGGAATCGTTAGCGTGGTTTGGATACTCTTGCTGCTGATCTTTAAGTCGATTAAAGTGATAACCGCATCTGACAAACAAGAGCGATCCCTGCAATAAGCGGTCAAAATCTCCTTTGAAAGTTCAATCCAACAAGCGGCCATGTAAGTGTCTGTACTTGTCATTTGCTTTTGTGCTGGGGAATCGTTTTCAACTGGTGTTTTATCTGCCAGTTTTTGTCTGAAACACTTCATAACATTGCTCTCTGTAATTTGCATAAACGAATTTCCAGGGAAGGATAGGCCGAGCATATCGACAGCATCCACAATCAACCCAGCTTTTTGATGAGCGTCCGATTCATTGTAATCCCAATTAAAAGTAAAGAGCCGATTGTAAATGTTGCTGGAATGGCTAGATCTTACGAGCTTTTGAACCATTTTATGGATATACGCTGGCCCATTTTGTAACGGTGGTAAAACTGCATCCAATTGGACTTTTTTTCCCGCAATGAAGTTTTCAATGACAGTAGCGAGGAAATCCAATGTTGATAACTTGCCACGAAGAAAACCGTTGCAGAAACTTTCATTGAAGCTAAAATACAAATATCTATAAAGTATATTTTTTATTTTATAAGCCGCACCACACATTCCCCCGATTTTGATTATAAATAAAAAACTGCATATCAGTTTTTGCCAGTACTAACATTTTTGACTACGTATAAAAAAGACAAAACATATTTTTTTTCAGTCAAAATTGAGCCACAAAATTGTCAGTAACAAGGATTCCATTAGGACAAACTTTGTTTCTAATCGCACGCAGTACCGCTACTTTATGAAATAAATATCTTTTGGAATGAAAATTTCTGAGTTTGAAAAGTTACAAATATTTGGTCGCAAGGACGCAGTTCTTAAATATATTTCATCCTCACCGATTGATATTCAAGGTCCCATTCTGAATATCTGAGCCAGTTTCACAGCTTTCAGGACTTTCATCTCCCTGATTTCTTCGGTTGCAGTTTTTGTTTGAGACTGGCATGTTATCAGTACAGTTCAGTGTAAGTGGCGGGGAATCACCATGAAGTAATGGTTGTTCACGCCACAAATAGTGTCTGCCTCCTATTAGGTTTTTTGGGTTATCTGTTGTAACTGGAAAGTCGTAGTTTAGGTTTTCTGTTATATCGAAAAGCACTTCGGGAATATTCGTGCTGTTGAAATCTTTTGCAATATTAACAATCAGATTTGAACATGGTCTAAAAACTTTGAGATTACTAATATTATATCGAGATATATATATTAAACTCATCTGTTTCCAATCAATCTAATGGTTACATAGCAGTATTTAGACAACCGCGTATTCAGACTCGTCAGTATTTAGACAAATACTGTTTCAACCAATCAGAATCGAGACAAAGAAGAAATTAATAAATATTTTTATTTATTTTAGATTATTTCTGATTTTCTCGATTCTGATTGGTTCATACAGTATTTGTCTAAATACTGACGAGTCTGAATACGCAGTTGTCTAATTACTGCTATGTAACCCCCAATCTAATTTAGTCAATTTAGTAATTTAGTAGTTTAGTAATTTGCTTTTGTGCTGGGGAATCGTTTTCAACTGGCGTTTTATCTGATATTTTTTGTCTGAACACTTAATAACATTGCTCTCTGTATTGTGCATAACCGATCTAGTTGTTACACTAAGTTGTAAAAAAATGCGTTCAAACTGCGTGCGTTTCTCTAATTTTTCGTTTGTTGTAGTTTTTGCTCTATACGATTCTTAAGTTTTTGCTGTATTTGTTGTAGTTTGTGCTGTATACTTAAGTTAATATTCAGCTGAATTAGAAAAATGACGCTGGTGGATTGGACGCCTGGATCTATTTTTGAATTAGAAAAATGACGTTTGTGGATTGGACGCTTGGATCTATTTTTGATTTATGTAATGAAAATTATACTCCATTATTATGGTACCATTCTGAGATTCAATTTTTGTTAAGTTTGAACAAATTCGCAAAACTGATACAGTTTGGTTAGAGTTGAACGTACAACAAAACAAATAAATTCAATTATTCAAAACTGAATCTTTTTTATAATGACTGAATTGCATGCAACTGATGAAATTGTTTCAAATTTAAGACTTGTACAGGGTTAGGTTTAGGGGAGGGGTTTGGGAGCAGGAGGGCTTGTGGCGGGGAGCGAACGCCTTCCCTCAGGGATTCGACCCCTCATCGATCTCTTTGTACTATTTTGAGATACCCATATTTGATGACGGACCCCTAAGTTTTTTAAAAGCGCCTTCGGTGCCATTAAATACTAAATTTGAGGGGTAGCACGCACCCAAAAAAACACGATTTTTTGGTCAAATATTTCGAAATGTTTTTTTTTTTCAAAAATTGCCTGCTGCGCAGAAACCTTTGCCAAAACAGAGTCTTTTCAGTAATTTGGAACAACTCGTAAAATCAATACGGTCGACACGAAAATCAATCAGTTTTTGAAAATTTTTTGAAAATCCTCCCTCGAGAAAATCTTAGATTCTGGTTTCTAAAATGATTGAAAGTGTGTCGCAAGGTAAAAGGTATATAAAAATGTCCACATAAAATTGACCGCATATGACCACATAGTAAAATGACCACATATCCTGACGGATGAAAAGCTTTCACGAGAAAAAGATATGTTGGTCCGAAGCCTGGAGTGGGTGCCTGCAGACGTCCATGTTTTAAGATAGGGAAAAATATCCGGTCTGAAGGCTGTGTATTGAGACGGGGAATGGAATTTTCTGGTATTAAGATAGATTTTGGGATTCACAATGTATAAAGATGAATTAAACAATTCCCCATTGTATTCAGATTTGTTATACCAAGTTTTTTATACTAAGTTTAAAAAACTTTTCGTGCCCGAGTTTTTCGATAGAGAATTGTTTATTATTCTATGCAGTGGGTTATTTGATCTTATGTATTAAAATGTGGATTAGCTTGTTTTTGGGGCGATAGGTTTGAGATTGTAAGTTTCAGAAAACTTTTAAATAAAATTTAAATTTAATTTGCGATTGTATTTTTTTCTTGAAAACTGAAACTTTTTTCCGATGGTAAGTTTCAGATAGTAAGTTCCGACAAAAATGAGGTTTCGAAATAAAGTATGTAAATGTAAAAAAAAGTATCGGAGATTTTCTTTCAAAAAACCCAAGATATACTTATTTGAAGTGAATTTTGTTCTCTACGGTTATCTGGGGAAATTTGACAAGAGCGGATCATCTTTGTCAGCTTAATTAATCTGCTTCATTCCGCAAGTGAAATGAAAAAAATTGAAAGGAAAAAAATCACTACATCGTACCAATTATCACTATAAAATTATGCAATCAATCACAAAAAACATGCAGCATTCTTAAATATAATTACTTATTAAAGATTTATCATGAAACGTACTCAAGTTTTCCGGAAGAATTTACAAAACAATGCTGAAATAATTGCGAATCTATTTTCTGTAGTTTTCGCGGAGCAATTAGGGAAACTTTTTCGTCGAAAAGAGTAAGTTGATTTTATCTACCCACAGTATCAGCATATTGGTAAGTTGTATCAAATCGAGCTATCATGATCCAGTTTTCTCCTCTATCTTTGCTTGAGGCTGAGATAAAAATTGTAAAAGAAAACTTATTAGATGAAAAACTTTATCAGAGAGATAAGACGCCTTTATAGTGGAAACTGAGATCAAGAATTTTCTAGTTAATTTGCACCAGTGAAAAATTATCCACCTTTGCAAATTTAAGCTGATGTCCTGCAGACATCCATGTTTTAAGATTGGGAATAAAACATCTGGTCTGCAGGCTATGTATTAAGATGGGATTAGATTTCCTTTGTAATAGATAGATTATGGGTTTCACAATGTATTAAGATTGACTAAAGGTTTCCCCATTGTATTCAGATTTGTTATACCATGTTTCCGAGTTTTTCGATAGAGATTTGTTTAATATTTTATGCAGTGATTTATTTGATCTTATGTATTATAATTTGAAATAACTTGTTTTTGGGGTGATAAGTTTGAGATTGTAAGATTCACAAAACTTTTTAAGAAAACTTAAGTTTCAATTGCTAACGTATTTTTTTTGAAAAATGAATCTTTTTCTCGATGGTAAGTTTCAGATGGTAGGTTCCGATAAAAATGAGGTTGCGAAATAAAATATGTTATTATAAAAAAAGTATCAGAGATTGAAAACTCAGCCCAAGAGTTCTTCAGTTAATTTGCAGAAGTGAAAAACCGTTCACCTTCGCGATGGTAAGCTGATTTACATCTGAAACAAAGAAACTGATAAATTTCTGTAGAATTTATGAAAAAATTGTATACAATAGATGACTTATATGCATTCGAGAACTAGCAAATCAATGCCCATTGCATGCGCAAGCCTTATGTATTGGACAAAGGTGATTGAACACTGCTTTAAACGGTAGGTTGTAGAAATTTTTCAGGTTTTCGATTATGCAGCATTCCTTGCCGATTTGAAATAGTAAAAACAATACAGTTAGTAAAGAGACATTAAAGAAGCTAAATCACAAACAGTTACAATTGTTTGGTTGGATTGTTTTTACCGAATGTTCCGGATTTGGTCAAATTGATTATTCAATACTTCTCTTCCAAGTCTATCGATTTAATTACTTGAAACAAGGGAAATTTGAAAAACCTTTCAAATCTCAATATTTCTCTAGTAAAATCTGGATAAAGCAAAAGTTTGGCGTCATCTTTCAGTGAATTCAAGTCAAAAAAGAGAATCTAGTGACAAAAAAAAAATCAAAAAAGTTTTCAAAAGAAGAGCTAAAAGTCTTCGATAAACTGCATCGCTTCCCTTGTTATAACATAGGGGCGACAAGTAGAAGTTTTATCTAATTAAACCTTTGCTCTTTCACCCCAAATAAATCTAAGCTCTCTCAATTAAAAATATAAACAATTGAACGGAATTTTATGAAAAAAACCTCAAAACTGCAGAGTTTTTTTTTCTTTTTGAGGAAAATTTGAAAGTGTTTTCCTGTATGAGTTTCGACGAGATAGAATGCAAACGTTTTTCCGGTATTTTCCAAATAATTGTAATGAGTAGGTTCCATTTCCAGATTTCATCGCAATGATTGATGATTTGGTGCAGCTAAAAAATTTTTTCAAGGAAACAACGAACAGTCAGCAGTTTTCAGACTAACATTTGGATTTCAGACAGCATGTGAAATTAGATCTAGCTCGAATTAGTTCAGTTTTTTTTGAACTGCTTTTGAAATGCCTCCGGAAATTCTTCAAAATAAATTCATGACAAGTAAATACTTCTGTATAACTTACTGTCGACAAGTTGAAGTTGTACAATTTTTTTGCTTCATGAGGATACAATCCATTGGAATTGTAAACTGTGTATTTTTCAAAAACATTCACAATTGGAAAAAAGAGAAGCTAGAAGATTGTTTACATAAGTTACGAAAAGTTCTGGTTTCTCAGCTGAGCTTTCCCCTGATTTTGCTTTATGTTCCGCTTTTTCTTTTTTGAAAGCATCAAACAACACTTCTTTAAAACATTAAAGTTTTAAGCAGAGATGAGTATCACGCATATCTAAATATGGATAAATGCCCGCCTCTAATTCAAACTCAATACTGCTTCTATTTACAGAAAAATTGGGAAAAAATTCTCGTGTATAGGATGAAATTGTTTCTAAAACTGGGGTTTATCAAACTTCTCTAAAGAATCTTTTGTGAAACCTCCGTACAGCAAAAGGGCTAGTTTGGTTTATACTCATTTTATATTGTACTAGTTCCATGCTTGGATCTCTGACATTTTTCAAACTGTTTTTTTGTACATTTTTTACAGATTTTTTGAGTTTTTTTCGTCCGCTCACGTTTTATTTAAACTGGAGCTACAATTTCAAATAAATCTGCTTTGAGTTTTTTCACAGTTAGAACTATGTTTTTTTACAAGAGAATTGCAGTTCTCTTAGTGCGCCAAAACGTTTTTTACGCTACATGTCCACAGAAATGAGAAAATTAGCAACCATTTAGTACAAAGCTTAAATCAAAAATGATTATCCGAATATTTGCAGAACAAGAAAATAACTCAAGAAAACCCTACGGACTCAAACGATTTTTTTCAAATTATGTTATTTCTTAGCGCTTTTTTTATGCTATGGAAAGAGTTTTGTAACAACAAATATTTTTTATTTTTTTCTTTGTTTTTTTTTCCTACAGGACTGATAGTTCAGGTACTGTCCTGTAAATATTTCCTCTTTTTTTCTTTGAAAATGAAGCGAATACAACGCAGTAAACAATTTTTGTATCTCCTACTTTTTTATATTCTAAATTATCAATTTATATCATCAAATTATGTATTATTTTTTTGTTGTAAACATAATGAGGATAATGTAGTCTTTTTTTCACTCATTATAAATCCTGTTTTGTTTTGTTCTAAATAACAACCCAAAGTAACACTCAAATTAGCATTCTGAATGATGAAATTGTTTCAAATTTAAGACTTGTACAGGGTTAGGTTTAGGGGAGGGGTTTGGGAGCAGGAGGGCTTGTGGCGGGGAGCGAACGCCTTCCCTCAGGGATTCGACCCCTCATCGGTCTCTTCGTACTATTTTGAGATACCCATATTTGATGACGGACCCCTAAGTTTTTTAAAAGCGCCTTCGGTGCCATTAAATACTAAATTTGAGGGGTAGCACGCACCCATAAAAAACACGGTTTTTTGGTCAAATATTTGGAAAAGAGGAAAAAAAGGCTTTTTTCTTGGTCTGTTTTTTTTTCA